CGTTTAGAAAAATAAAATTGGCACAAAATAAAAATTTATTTACGCTCTCTCTCTCTATGTTTGCGCGCCATTAATATTTTATTTAAACTCAATTTAAAAAGAATTTTATGCTCCATATGAGCGGACACGTAGGTAGTATCTTGGTAAGACAACGTCGAATCCCCCTAGAATAGCTCGAGCATACAGCTTTCGCTACACGTTCGTCTAAAATACCCTGACACTTTATCTTAAAAAGTCAACTACACCATCAATCTACAATAAGAAGAGCAAAGGCCTTTTTCATTTCACCCCGCTTCGCTATCGCTGTCAGCTTTGAAATGAAATAGCGGGCGTCTCTGGTAAACAAATAATGGCTTCATAAGTCCTTTATGTTATTAACATTTTCCAGATTCAATTTGTATTAAATACAACAATTTTTTCTGTCGAATGTTTTATTTTAAAGGAAATGAGATGGTTAATGTAAATTAAATTCGACATAATTTATTTGGTTAATGTACTCCACTGCACTTAAGGTTTCCTGGTAAGTTCGACTAGGCCTACACTTTCTTAAAGGATTCTTCCGATGAATTCAAACAACCTCGTATTAAGAGCCAGTTAAATGTCTCAGCAACCACGGAAGACGCTGACAATTGTGTTCGCGTCAGGTCGACCGACCTAATGAGTAAACCTAAGAGATCGATGCAGTACTAGGTTTGATGAGAATAATAATAAATGAAGTAAACGGAAGTTAACTGGAATAACTAGGGAAACATTAATAATCTGGCGAGCAATAAATTTCTTTTCTGGATTAATCTCGGCAATCAATTTAAGATCGGTTAGTGATCTCAGGGAAGTGTTTGGTAGGGAACACAGATACAAGAATAAATTCTGGCCTGGCGTACACTCGAAGATATCCCTATGGTCTGGAGTTCTGGACTGCCTACAGGATTACACACCGGGTCCCGATTACATACATACATGGTGGTCGCCCCACCGACAAGATATCCAAATCGTCAGTTTAAAAGTTTTATACCTCCCTTGTAAGTATGCACAAGATATCGTATAGCAACGACAATTAATGTGTTAAGAACGTTTCGATAATAGGATTTGGGCAACAAATTAGTTTTGCATTGTAAATTACTTCCTTTTAAACTTGTTAATTAGTTTGTCTTTGATTTTCGAACTTCAAGGAGTATTGTTTGTTTAATACTTAATCGCCTAATGAAAGAGCTTAATTGATTGTTATATTCGTATATTTGCAAAATGTCAAAGTCCACGAACCGTACTCTTTAATCAATGCATTAATCTGTAATGTGAAACCGAACATTAACGATTTATTTATGGCGTTGTATTAGGTAAAAGTGAACGCGCTCGTGTAGCCGGATTAATTTTGTCACAAATTTTAGAAACAAAAATATCAACTTATACCTAATGGGGAAAGTTTTTCATTTTGTATGTATCAATGTGGCAATGTATCTACTTGTTACAACACATGGGTTGAAAACGTACTAAACAAAATTACCTTTCTACTATAATGATGAATTTTTTACAACACCAAATTAAAAACTTAGCGCTCCGAGTTGAGCTAACTTGACTGTCCACAATAATTACAAATTTAAGATGAACTGATTGACGATACTGATACAATAAAAATCCTCGAAGCCCTTTCTCTTACATTTTTCTTACTTAACTACCCTAACTAACTTACCCCTATTTAACTCTCAATATCAATAAGACATAGCAATTTTATAAAAAAAAAACTCGGGACTGATTTATAGGGATTTTCTGAGTTAAACTCGGACAATGCAATTTCAAAAATTTCATCTAAATAAGTTCAAACATAATTACATTGCGATATAATTTTGCTCCATTCACCCAATTTACAATAATCGATTACTTTCAAAAAAATTTAATACAATTTCCTAAAGAGAGTCGATCGTTATTTGAATACAAATCAAAAGGATTTCGTTGCCTTAATTATCGCGTTTTCTAGAATCGATGGTTTCCCTATGTTACAAATTTAGTACTGCTCCCCTCGAAAGGATGGTGCCGTGAAGAAAGACAATATAAAATGCGATCTGGATTTTCTAAATTTGTACGACTACCTCTTCGCATGCAAATGATCGAGCAATGAACTTTCTATTTATATCATCTGCTATCAAACAACTTTTTTTTTATTGATGGAAACGTCACTCTGATTTATACGCCGAACAAGTCCGCTCGCACCTTTATAATTTTCCGATAGTTCTGAATACGAATTTGCACCTACACTTATTTTACGAAAACAGTTTATGTCATGTTTCTTTTATGGTAATCTCTAGGTCACAAAACAGTCGGATAATTTACCTGTCCACAAAACTTCTGTGTTCTGTATCTTTCTCGTTGATTTATTTTACAATACTTCCTGAACTTTAATTCAATTCGCAACACTTTCTTACTAAGAATTCGTGCGGATATTCGAATTCGATTATTTATATAACAAACGAACCATTGGAACTCATGACGCCGTAAAGTGTAGCGTCGACATTATAACAAAATACGATTTTGAATTTGCTGGAATACGTAACCGTAAAATTAGTATATGTCTCCGTCCTTGAAAAATATTATCTAAACTTCAAATGCAAAAAAGATTGATTTATCGCCGGTATTACATACGACGGCTAAATGTCTCCCGGTCATAGATACATATCGGCTACATTACTGTTCGGACGGTAGAAACTTTTAACTTTTAGTAAGAAGAGAACCTCAACAAAAGGCCTCGCTGCGCATAACATCGGATTTCTTTTTCAACTCGACGAAACTTTTTCCGTAATCATAAAACACGCGTTAAACTTCTGACACAACTTTGGTTAACTTGCATGCATTATAAAAATGACGAATTGCGCCTTTAAGAAAACAAATAGGGGCGACTGAACGAGAATTTAGCTTAAAAAGAAGTACACGGTCTTCAACCGTGGCGAAACCAGCTTCGTTTTTAACTTGATTCCAGTATTTAAAGGGCCACAATTTCCACTACATAACAATCTCAAAATTTCAAAATTTCAAAAACCTCGCCAATTACCAATACCTTTCATAATGCCAGTTTCGAAGGAACACGTTAAAAACGTCTCCACTTTTAAACAAAAGACACGTACTTGTTCGTAAAATCTTAGTTATCAGCGCCAGATGTGTATTTCCTTGAAATTAGTTAACCTTCACCTGACAAACACTCTTTATCGCAAAAGCTTTTATAAAGTACACCAACTTGACTTGACCAGATGTGCCTAAATGAAAGCATTTTATCTACATTGAACAATTCAAAAGTGATAAAATTAAAACAAATAATTCGGAAAGGAAAAACCAACACTGAAATACAACTTCACATAAAACGAACTAACTGAGTTCGTATCCCACAACTTACCATTTTTACGATACAATACTTAATAAATTGAAATATTTTTATGTACAGGGTGTCCTGTCATTAGGAGAAATTCCTGCAGGTACATCATTGTAGATACATGTCAAAAGATAGCTGGGAAAATTTATTAAAATGTTTATAATAAGGATAACTTGTTTTTAAAAAATTCGAGATTTTTATTAGAAGTAGAGAGGTTCGACCCATTTTTTATGCAAAACCCATTGAACACTTTAATTTACAACAAACCAATGAGCTTTTAGAAGCTACTCTAACTGGAAAAAGTGAAACATCTGAATGCGATGGTGGATTGAGTATCACAAATGGAGGACACCTTATTTATGGTTTTTTAAAATGAAAGAGAAGAATTTAGGCAGTTATTAGAAGCAACATCCGCGTAACCTGGCCATTAGAAAAAAAAACAATTTTAAATCAACAAATCAGAACAATATTGCTGTGTAAACAATGTCAGTTGGGACGGTTAGTTTGGTTCTGAGACATTTGGAATGAATTCGCGTGCCTAATTGTTTAATTAATGTCATTAAAATTTGTCTCTAATTTATGTGGTGGGTCTATTTACGTTTGAACACAAAACGATTGCGCATCGGGCGTGTAGTCAAGGTCGTATTTGTTTATTTTCTTTATAAATGATACACTATTTCTTGTAATTGTTCGATTAAGACATTGTTGTACCCCATTTTTATTTGTTATCAAGGTGCTCATTAATGCGAATGTGACAGTTTCGATGTGATTTATGGAGCTTTTCGTTCATTTGAGTGAGATAAGGGTAATTGTTTTGAGATACCGTGACAAGTTTAATCTTAAAAAAATTTATATTAGATAAGGAAAATTCTAAGAATTTAAATACGAGAGACGGCTTTTGTTGAATTCCAAGGCCGAACTGCTGCCCGTCAGAAACAGTATTATTTTCGTCGTATAAAATTTTGGGCCCAAGTTACAGTTCGTTTATAGAAATCTTTCATCTAGTTTCGAGTGCCTTTATTTAGAAGGAGAAGTCAAGTTGCCCAGCTCGTGACCGATTACGTTTTACGTTATGGAGAAATAAAAAAAGTCATCGAGTTTGGATTATTTATTGTTGTGGTTTTCGTGCTCAAGGAAGTCGTTCATTGGGAGTCAATTGGTTGGGAGCGTCGGACGGCAATTTCAAGTTTTTGATAAGGGCTACGGTAACGAAGAATAAGGATAACTTTATCTACAACTGCATTGGGGAAAAGAAGTAGTAAGACAAAGTTTTAGGTGTGTCACGGTTCATAAGGCATTTTTGGTTTTTGTTAGTTTGATTAGCGATTTGTGTGTACGAACCTTATTCGGATATTTGGTCTCGAAGAAAAACTAAGTAATTTTAAGTTGTATTTGACAATTGATTGTACTGTTTGTGACGATATTTTTTTTTATTAATTCGAAAATCCATTTTTAAATCAATATTTTATGTTGGTTGCATTCCTTTACGTTTGACCGTTTGTACAGACAAGTGACGACACCTGCCGCTTTTGTGGAAATATCTGATTATTTTTAGTATAGATGTCCTGTATCGAAATTGTATTCTTCACTAGATGGCGTAGGCTTATTCTTTTCGCATTTTTTTTAACCACCTTTCTTTGTTTCCGATTCCGCGTAAGTAGAACCATTTCGTCTGTTGAAGTAACACGTCGCCATTGTTTCTGTTCGTTTGAACATTCCAGAAATGGGTTATTAATGGTTGTTCGTGCTGTTCTCTGAAGATTTTACTATATTTTGTCTTGCTGCTTCAGTGAAAACGTTTATACGGATTTATTCACAAAACGCCCTAAATAGCTAGGGGCTTCTTCCTTTGGACCCCTATCTACCTACTATTGTATTTGGATTAGTTTTATTGGAATATTATTTGGAATCTACGCTGGAATTAATTTGTCCACAACGTGGTCTAATAAACGATAACGACCCCGACGCCTTGCCGACCATTTTGGATCTTCATCACGTGATCGGTTAAGCAGATTTCTACCTGACCCACCGACATTTTCAAACCACATTTGACGACGTATCTTTATTTCGGATTTATAACCGCAAGTATTGACGCCCTTATTATCTACCATTGCTAGACGTTTGACTACCGAATTTATTTATCAACGATTGATTACCAAATTTTCGACGCTGGATATTTTTGGCCCGAATTACCTCGAAATACTTCAAAATTACTACATAACCTCCGACCTAACCTTAAATTATTTACGACCCCCTTTGTTTGTATTTAATTGACTTCATATTTACCTTGTTTACTGTGTTGTTTTGATATTATTTAAATTGTGCCTTGTGTGAAAATTGAATTATTTAGATTACTCGTGTAAATATTTTGCTGTTCATTTATGCTAACTGTTGTGAGTTGAAGAAGCTTTAGATCGACCCCAAAATTTTGTTTTTTCTGTAATGTAACTGATTTTTTTGTATTCGCTGAAGACGATTACAATTTCTTTGTGTGTGTATTATCAGCTATTTAGCTTCGAACGTTAAACCTTTTTGGGCACGTATTCGCCTAGTGCATCAATTAACCCTTATAGTATTTTTGTGTGTTTAACCTGATTTCAGGATTGGCGTAGCGCACTCCTTCGAGCTCGAATGGTTGCGACCCGAGTTTCAAGGTAAGTTTATTCTCCGTTTTCCCCGTGCATTAACGTTTGTGACTCATTTAGCGACCGATACCTTGTCGAAGTTGTAATTAAAATTTTTGTGTCATTTAACATTTTGATTCCGTGTTGTCTTGCGGAAACCCTTTTGGCCTTTTAACGACACCTTTTCGATCTCGAGTTTGTTTTGCCTAATTAAAGCTTTGTTTTATAAGATTTTATATTTGGGTTAGATTCGAATTTATATATTATTTTACCAGAATTGTGAGAATAAGATCTAGGTATTACAGTGTTCAAATTTGTAGTACTGTTGATCCATTTCATCATTTATTTTGACTCATTAAATTAATCCCCGATCGTGACATTTTTGTGTATTATTTGTATCCCTATTTCTTGTATTTCTTTTTCAGCTTACAAGGTTCTCTTAGTCTACATTGTCCCCTGATAGTAAGTATCTCTCATTCATTTTTCTACAAGACTAAGTGGCGCCTATATTTTGCTATATATTTTGCTTATATTTTTGCCTACCCTGATTTATGCTTATACTTTCTGATTACTCACCCTCCTTTTTATTACTAGCTTTTGAAATCGAACACCTCAGAACCCCACCCACACCCACCTCTACCTTGACCGAGCTTACCGTGTGCTTATCTAAGGTAATTTTGTTGCGTGTGCCAATCGTGCATGTAACATGTTGTTGTGAATAACCATGTCCATTTTCACAGGAATGTAATGATTGATTTATTTTTAGTATTTTATGTGTATGTAGAATAAAGTTTGTTTTTGTAATATCACTCAAGTTGTGTGTTCATTCGAACCCTTTTCTTCTTAACGACAAACAGAAAAGTTTCATGTTCAATTACAATTCATTTTATTGGTTCTCGCACAAAGTTCATTTTAAGTGTTAGCCAAAATTTGGTTACATGACGGTCTGGAATTAAAGGATTTTGATCTTACTCATTGTCTGCTGTGAATCAAAAGGTCGAAATTCACCAACTTTTCTGTATCGGGTTGAGGATCTGTACCGGGCAATATACTAATTTATGGAGTCCTTAATAATGTTTTGTCAGTGACAATATCGAATAATAATTCACATTGTGAAACTACGAACACATACGTATAAATAAATACTTGCCGCTTTATTTGATACAAATCGGGTGTGTTGTTTTTTAATATAAACTTCTAAAGTCAGCGGACTATACTCATAGTAGTTGTAAACTTCCAAACGTTCGGCTGATAGTTCCTCTCCAGTAGTGGTTCTGCATCATTTGCCAATATCACCCATGAAATATTTTCCATTAAATTTCCAATAAGATGCGTGCACATTTTTCACACCTATCAGAAAGCCATAAAACGCCAGCATCCTTAAATTTATCACATCGCTGTTTGTTAGCTACGTCTGGTGCTGGCGAGTAATAAAATAAAGGTAGCAGTTTTTCGATTCTCTTCAAATTAGATGCGCCCTTTTAGCATTAAATAAGAGCAATTATAAATGTTTCTCGGCGAGCTTTGACTCGCTCGTTCACTGACGATTGTCGGAATTAATTTTACGCGCGCCTGTTTTACGTGCATATAATTTGAAAGGCCCCAAAGAACGCGCTTTGGAGTCGGTATACAACAAAATAACCAAACCGCTTCAGTTGAAAGGAAATGAGGCCGGTATGATTACATACATTTAAATTCCGAGTTCGGGAATAAATTTGATCGAGTTTCTTAGACCAGAAAATCAATTGGCGTTGTGTGGTCCGGAATTTAAATGCGCTTCACAAGCGAAATTTTATTGTATCCTTTCCGCATTGCAAAAATGCGATAAGCCTAGGTTTTGGGGAATAATTAATGGCTTAATGTGTCTCTTCGGGCTGCTTCAAGACAATCGCATACTGTGAACTGAGTTTGTGTTTTGCATGCTAAAGCTCAACTTTGCACGGCGCACAGCCCCAACCCAGGCGAGCTTTCGCATCACGCAAACTTCCAGTCAATTCACACCGCCCGTGGTATTCGCTTCTTCCTACAGAGTCGCGCTACGATCGTCGTCCATGTGTTTCACTAAATCGCTCCTGAGTGTCTGATGTAAACAGGAACCTAAAACGAAAACAAATGCAACATCCCGGATCGTGGTATTTGCCTTGGGGTGTTCCCCTGCAAAAGATGGTAGCGGTGCCGATCCACCCCGGCGGTCCTCTTCATTTGCAGCATCCTGCCGTGCACGTGCAACCGATGCTGGCCGGCCTTCCCGCTCCCTTAGCCACGATACGAAGCTATGTCACTCAGCCTACGATAAGGCAACCGCAAAGAAAGGTACAAATACTTCCTCGATTTACATTTCTTTTGCGTAAACGTTCATGCCGATAACGAAAAAGAAATTTACTCGGGATTTGTTAAAGCCTCGAGAGATTGTTAAACATTTGAATAAATTTAGTATGAGCTTTTGAATTTACGTTAACCGCTGTTCTAGATTTTCTCTTTAACGTTTTCGACTACGTCTGTTTGCGGTTTTATAAGTAGACGTCTTTCCATTTTACTTTATTTATCATCTTTGTAAAGAAACTCGCTTCGCAATTAAGTGATTACCCTACGCATGAAGCGTGTCACTTTTCTTTGAGCACTATTACGTTTCGCGTTAAATTTCATTGTAGGTAAAATTTTGTTTTATAAAAGGGAAAGATAATCCTAAGTAATTACACTTGAAGGTTCTTCTTTCCTGCAAAAAACATGGAATGGGAGTTTCGCGTCTTGGAAACACTCTCTTTACTCGAGATCGAAAAATTCTCTGCGGTTTTTCTAAACGGTAGGATGAGCTTTATTACTGCCTGAATTACGTTAGCCTCTCGGAGCAGATTTGTGTTTCCTAATCCTAGTAGAAACAGTTAATGCCAGCACTTAGGTAGTAGAAGTTCATTCAACATTAGCAGAAGCGTTATAACAATTTTCTTTGTGTTGCATAATTCAGTAGACATTTACCATACTAGATCGTGAGCCACCCCACACCTGTGGAATTGGCCAAGCTCCATTTTAAAAGAGAAAAGTTCTTTGTTTGAATATGTACTTAATGCAAATGTTGGCACATAAATGCAGTGAAAGAAGCGAAGTTACGATTTATATTGTTGAGTTTTCAGTAATTCATATTCTCCCCAATACAAATTAGTTCAAACAAGTTCAAATAAACGTAAACATGTAGCGTACCGACACTCTCATGGGAGGCGGTGAAGTGAATATGAATGCAACGATCTAAATTCTCAGGTCTGTAAAATGACTTGCTTGCTTTGGAAAGATAGGACCCGAAGGGATGTTTAGACGTACGTAACGAAAGCATTTATGTTTGGATTAAATTTTTGAATTTTTTCCGCACAAATAAGTAAATTAGAATGTGTTTTCCCAAAGAAAAGAATTTATGTGGATGATTGCGGTCAACGAAATTATGTCATTTTTATTTATTCATTTTCAATGGCCTTTTCTGTTCCTTAATAACTCGAGGTGTCAAGATTAGGGATTACAGTTTGAATTACATCCTTCTTAGTAGAGCGATAGGATTACATTTCTTACTAAGCGTGATATAACTCACTAAGGAAAAGGATCAGAAGATGTGCGGAACGTGAAAGAATCTAACTAGTTTTTGATTTGAGGGGCTCATTTAAATTTTAAACGTGCCCAAATTGAGCAGCAATTCGCCATTTTGTTTTTGGGTCAAATTAGCGTCGTAATTACAGCCGCGAAGACAATTTTGAAGGAACGTTTTTATAGTGGTAATAAATAATCTGAGACAATCTGTTGTTGAAAGAAGATCCGAAGAAATTCTAGGGTGTGAAACAGGAAGATCGATTTAATCGCCGGCCCGTGTGGCGCAGTTCAGTTAAAGCTGGACTGTGGTGCTAAGGGTCCCCGGTTCGAATCCGGGTTCGGAAATGGATATTTGGAAATATATAGTGGGTTGGGTTGGCAGAACAGCCTTGGCTGAAACCGTGCCCACTCAAGGCAAAATAAAAATAAATAAATAAACATTCGAAAAGAACCTTTTATGTTCGTGTACTCAACTATAGCTCAAAGACGTTTTGTTTTTTAACAAGAACCCATGATCCTCCTGAACGCTCTTTTTATTAACATAAAGTAAAGTAAAATTTTATTTTTGTGCCCAGGATTTGTCTCAGTTCGTTTTACTGAAATCTTTGACTTTATTTACTCAAAGAAATGGATTTAATTTTATATATTATGATTGTTTAAATAACCACGATGTTTTTAGATAGACCTAAACATTTTTCGAAAATTCTTACCCTAATCTTGGTATCTGAGGATATTTGAACATATTGCTGTGTTTATTTCGTCTGGCAGGATGAAGTTTTCGGGCATCTTAATTAAGATGGACAAGGGCGGTCTCCTTTTTATATAATTAACATTCATAATTAAGTTTTATTATTTGTCGTTTGTCTATGTAACGGCACGGAGATTATTGTCATACGAGAAAGCGGTCAACGTTGTTTTTGTTTACCTTTGTATTTTATTTAACGTAGAAATTTTCGAGAATGTTTGTTAAAAGAGATGAATTTTTATTTTTCCTAGTATTTTAGTTAATTAATGTCTGATAAGAAATTGTTTAATAAAATTATTCGACCTCTATTGTTTTGGTCTATTAACGTAAGATGAGGGGATATTTTCTGTTGTCAACTGTACGATTGGTTGATATAATTTTGATTTTGAGAAGAGAGTTTTCGCTTTAAATAGGACGTGAACAGGAATAGCGTCGCTTTTTTGCCACGTTTAAGGCCATAGTGCGGCCAATTTAATTCAGCTTTTTGCCAAGTTGAGAGCTTTCTTTGAAGATTTTTAAAATCGGCTTTATGCCAAGTCGTGGGCCCGAGTGCGGTCAATTTAAAATTCGCTTTACGCAGAATTACGCTGTATTACGTATCGTTGGAGTTTGAAGTCAGTTTTTTGCTACGTGCCGCATCGAACTACGTTTCGTTGAGTGAAGTCCGAACGTATTGTATAATTAAGGTTTTAACTTAATTCGAAATTTATTGCTATTTTATTTTTAGAGCTCTAAGTAGCATATTGTAGGTACGAGCTACATAAAACTATTAAATACTGACTAGGACAACACTCCTAAGAGCGGTAGAATAAAATCTAATTAGTGCGTAATTAAGTGTCATTTATTATGTTAATTAATTATTGCTCTTTTACGCTTTTATTTATTGTATGTTTCACGCATCGCCTTAAGTTTGAATGTTGCTTATAAGAGCCCAAATTTGAAATTCAATTATAGCGCTTGGGCCCAAAATTCTCCAAAATTTTGATCTATATTCAAATTGGGTTTTAAGAACAGACAAACGCATTGCACCTATGGAAACAAAGTAACTTTGTTTATTGTAATTTCATTTTAGGTCATTACTTTGAACCGTTTTGTCTAGCGGCTTACTTACAAACGGATTGTAGTAGGTCTGCACGAGATGTTT